CCAGGCAAATTAAATCAGTATCAACAAAATTCATCTTTTCAATGCAGAGGAAACGCAGAAGCTTCATCGGAAGTGGCATTTAGATGTATTTACACACTGTTTAATGCAGGACATGAATGCATTTAACCTGCATTTACAAATGCAGAAATAATGTTTTGATATACAAGATATAAAATGTTGAATACTCATTACTCCAAAAAAAAAAATCTAAAGACACTTTAAATGTGAAATTAAAATGGCCAGTAGGTGTCAGCAAGTCACTGTTAATAAGTGAGTCATTGCTATTGAACTGAATCATTCAAACAGTTGATTCATTCAGGAACGAAACACCGACATGTTGCTCAGAGACGCAAAACTGTGCTATGGTTGCTGTGTTTGGAATTATTTTTGTTGTAGAAATAGAGCAAAAACAGGCAATCTGGTGTCTAAAACGCAAGTCTCTTAATTAACTTCTTGTTTATTGAACTGTTGTAAAAAAAATCTATATGTAATCATGCTGAATTTTGGAGGAAAAAACAGCACTCTTCGTGTGATATTGATTTACTATATGAAATTATATAAATATAGGCTATACATTTTCTGTCCCTATATCTTAAATTTTGTGATCATTCTAAATGCATTTTAACAGACTGAATCACGCAGTGAAAGAACGCACTCTAAATGCGCGCGCACTAGTCTAATCTACTAGACTTCACGGCACTCTGTAGGAGTGTTTTGTTTGGTTTTTGGCAAAATACTGATAATGTCAAATCGCACATTGTTAAAACAACAATTACGATATTATTGCAGACGATATATCGCACACTCCGCACCACTGTCTTTTTGGCTAATTTGTGCAAAACCTCTTGCTAAACTGTCAAAGCGTCATTTTAACCACCAATGCAACGATGCAAGTATTTACCTTACCTATACATGCTTGCGAAGGGTTGATGTCGAGATTTTATAAGCTGCTAGTTTGGTCTCCCTAGGCAAACACAGCTTACACTGCATAATAGAGCATAAATATGGCCAGGGGTTCACTTCATTTCCTTCGAGTTCAACTTCAGCAGAATACGACGGGGTTTCGTTTTCAGCTGTGTCTGCTCCACTAATGCCTGTTTTGTCCGTCTGCATCTGTCTTGTGATTTTAGCGCCAGTTTGCTCTCCTGCCCATTATTTACTGCAGTAGTTTCCAGGGAGCGATTTTTTATTTTTTTTTACTCCGTAATTAATGTGTTTTAAAATGTAGCGAAGTACAATACTTCAAACTAAATATACTTAAGTAAAAGTAAAATTACAGATTAAAAAAAAATACTTCAAAAAGTAGAAGTACACAAAAAACTACTCAATTACAATAACGCGAGTAAATGTAATTCGTTACTTTCCACCTCTGACAACAGGCGGCAAAGAGAGCCTAATGCGTGGGAAAATCTAATCCGCTACACTTAGGGAAATTACACAAGCAACAATATTATAAGCAATAACTTGTAGGCTTAGTGGATTAGTGGTCTAAATAATCGCCTGTTCATTAGGAGTTGCGATCCTGGGAGGAAGCTCTGGCGCGGGCAGCCGAGGAGCAGAGGGAGCAAGAGGAGCATCTGAGGAGGCGTGAGCAGGAGTTAGCCGAGAGGGAGATCGACATTGTGGAGAGAGAGCTCAACATCATCATCCATCAGATGTATCAAGAGAAACCACATGTGAAAAAACGCAAAGGCCACTTCAAAAAGAGCAGACTGCTCAAACTTGGCAGGGACAGCAACTGCATCAGTCTGCCATCTGGTGGGTGGAATGGGAACATATACTAGCGGTCAAAAATTTGGAAGAATTACCATTGTTTAATGCTGTTCTTTTGAGGCTGCATTTATATGTTTGTGGTGCGATCTGAATACAGTCAAAATAGATATTCTAAATTGAAATACTATTTAGAACAGCTGTTGTCTATTTGAATATATTTTATGATGTAATTTATTCCTGCGACGGCAAAGCTGAGTTTTCAGCAGCACGTGATCCTTCAGAAATCATTCTGATAAGCTGATTTGCTGCTCAAGAAACATTTTTATTGTATCTGCTGCCCAGCATTTTGTGGAAACTAATCAATCAATGCCTTAATTCTGCAAGGATGCATTTAATTGATCAAAAGTGACAGTAAAGACATTTAATGTTACAAAAGCTTTTATTTCAAATAAATGCTGCTTTTTTTTATAATAATTAGAACCATTATTAATAATTAAGAACCAGTAATAACTGTTAATAATTGAGTGCCAAATCAGCATATTAGAATGATTTCTGAAGGATCGAGCTCAACATCATCATCCATCAGATGTATCAAGAGAAACCACATGTGAAAAAACGCAAAGGCCACTTCAAAAAGAGCAGACTGCTCAAACTTGGCAGGGACAGCAACTGCATCAGTCTGCCATCTGGTGGGTGGAATGGGAACATATACTAGCGGTCAAAAATTTGGAAGAATTACCATTGTTTAATGCTGTTCTTTTGAGGCTGCATTTATATGTTTGTGGTGCGATCTGAATACAGTCAAAATAGATATATTGTAAAATTGAAATACTATTTAGAACAGCTGTTGTCTATTTGAATATATTTTATGATGTAATTTATTCCTGCGACGGCAAAGCTGAGTTTTCAGCAGCACGAGATCCTTCAGAAATCATTCTGATAAGCTGATTTGCTGCTAAAGAAACATTTTTATTGTATCTGCTGCCCAGCATTTTGTGGAAACTAATCAATCAATGTCTTAATTCTGCAAGGATGCATTTAATTGATCAAAAGTGACAGTAAAGACATTTATAATGTTACTAAAGATTGATATATTTTAAATAAATTCTGTTCTTTTGAACCTAATATTCAAAAAAGAATCTTGAAAAAAACATGGTTTCCATTTAAAAAATCAGCACAACTGTTTTGAACTTTGATAATATGCTTTTTTTATAATAATTAGAACCATTATTAATAATTAAGAACCAGTAATAACTGTTAATAATTGAGTGCCAAATCAGCATATTAGAATGATTTCTGAAGGATCCTGTGACACTTAAGACTGGAGTAACTCAGCTTTGCATCACAGGAATAAATTACATCATAAAATATATTTCAATAGAAAACAGTTATTTTAAATTGTAATAATATTTCACAACATTGCTGGTTCTACTTTATTTTAATCAAATAATTGGAGCCTTGCTGAGCATTAGAGACTTCTTTAGTATAATTTTAATTATTCCAAACTTTTGACCAGCATTGCATTATGTTAATTTATAATAAAAGGAATTTTTCCCCCCTAATCAAAATTTGTGTTATTGTCCAGTAAAATGTTTTATCATACAAGGGTATGAAAACAAACTGGAATCTGAAGAGTCCAGCCAATATATCCTTAAAGTCTATTTAATTCTATGTAGAATCCTATTCTGTAAGTCCATGACAGCATCTGTCTGTTTTAGGTTTTGAACATAAGATCACGGTGCAAGCGTCACCCAGCGTGGACAAGAGGAAAGGTCAGGGTAGTGAAAGCACCACTCCTCCAGCCAGCCCAGGGGTCATGCCTCGCCTCAGAGCCATACGCCGTAAGTCAGTGTGTGAATGTTTGGGTTTTATATAGGAGAATAAATAAGAATCAGAGTACATTACTGGTGTAGCTTATTACATATTGAAGTACGCCTGCATTGCCGTGTGCTAAGAATCAATACCACTTAAAAGAGTTGAATGTGTCTGTGAAGTGCATTGAGACTGTCTTAGCTTACATACTTGTGTTTCTATGCAGTCCATACTTTATGCTGTGTTAGGTAGCAATATGTAGTATGCAAAAACAAAGATAAATTGAATATTTTCTGAAATGTGTTTGTATTGCTGTGTGGTCTAGTGACGCCCAGTGATGGAAGGAAGACGTGGGGCCGGACGGCAGTGTGTAAGAAAGAAGACCTAGGGACCAAGAAGAAGGGCCGAACATTGGGTTTTATATAGGAGAATAAATAAGAACCAGAGTACATTGCTGGTGTAGCTTATTACATATTGAAGTACGCCTGCATTGCCGTGTGCTAAGAATCAATACCACTTAAAAGAGTTGAATGTGTCTGTGAAGTGCATTGAGACTGTCTTAGCTTACATACTTGTGTTTCTATGCAGTCCATACTTTATGCTGTGTTAGGTAGCAATATGTAGTATGCAAAAACAAAGATAAATTGAATATTTTCTGAAATGTGTTTGTATTGCTGTGTGGTCTAGTGACGCCCAGTGATGGAAGGAAGACGTGGGGCCGGACGGCAGTGTGTAAGAAAGAAGACCTAGGGACCAAGAAGAAGGGCCGAACATGGGGGCCCAGCTCCACACATCAGCGCGAGAGAGTCGGTGGAGAGGACAAGTAGACCAAAAAATATATACCTTTAAAGGAGTTGTATTTTTTTTATTTATGTAACTAGTTATTTTTTATTTATTTTATTTATTTGATGTAGAAGTCCACATATAATGCTTTTTTATTATTTATTATTATTGTTATATTAATATTTTTGTGCCAAAATTTTGTATGCATTTTCTTAATGACTCTAGGGGGAATATATATATACAGTAAATATATATATACACATATAAGGCATGTGACAGTATCAAATTTTCATGTTGTGATAACTGCCAAAGCATTTATCACAGTATACAGTATTATCACAATATTGAAAAAAGTTGCAAAAAGTGTTGACATAATACAGTATAACAGGTTTAATAACTTTTGCTTATAACAAAAAGACCTGAACATTTAAATACTGTACAATAAAGCAATACACAAAAAAAAATTATAAAGGAAGCATGTTTCAAACATTAAACTGCAAAAGAATTATAAAGACCAATAGGTAACACTTTACAATAAGGTCTCATTAGTTAACCTTAGTTGCATGCATTAACATTAACAATGAGCAGTAGCTACATTTGTTACAGAAGTTATTATTCTTTGTTAAAAAAAATTACAACTGTTTGTTCATGTTAGCTTGGGTCCATTAAATAATACAGTTTCTATTTTTGATTTTAATAAAACATTAATATTTGTATATTTATATTATACAATTTGTATAACTACATTTGATTTTTAATTGAAATGTAATCAAGCTGCTCCCCTTTTTGTAAGGTTAAAGTCACTTGGCGAGGGTAAGGTGTTGTCCTCCAGTGCTCCAAATCTGGGGAAGTCCCCAAAACATGCTCCTATGACAGCTGGATTCTCAAGCCTAAATGAAATGGGTGAGTCTGAGTCCTATTCTGCTTATAGACATATAATGAACCTGCCACTGATTTGAACATTATGACCCAACACAGTAAGTACATCAAACAGATATCAACTGAAATTATAGGACATTTACGATCTGTTTCTCTTTATTCATGATTAATTCACTACCCTTCTGTGTAGAGGAGCACTGTGAGTTTGATGACAGTTCCCCAGGACGTCTGGCTCCTGAGCTGGGCAGTAATGGAGCGATGGAGGAGGTGGGTTTAGGGTCAGCGGGTGTAGGGCCGGGAACAGGCTCACAGGATTCAGTTCGGCGCTGCAGCCAGAGGAAAAAAAGTGACCTGCTGCTGCTGGGCTGTACCTCCATACTGGCCGCTGTGGGCCTGGGCTCTGACATCTTCCAGCTGGGACGACAGCAGGTACACATTATGAGAGACTGGGAAAGTGGAAAAGAAAAGTAAGGAACAAAAGAAAAGCGGCTTAATAGGAGGGTTGAGTAGTGTTTTTTCAGTACATTTTTAATGAATGTGTTATCATAAGCAAGACTACATTACATTACTTTGTAATTATTATACATTTAAAAGTTACACTTTATTTTAAAGGGATAGTTCACCCAAAAATGAAAATTCTGTTAATAATTAATTACTCACCCTCATGTCGTTCCAAAAACGTAAGACCTTCGTTCATCTTCGGAAATCAAATTAAGATATTTTTGATGAAATCCAAGAGCTTTCTAAACCCCCATAGAGTGCAATGCAACTGAAATGTTCCCAGAGCCAGAAAGGTAGTAAGGACATCGTTTAAATGGTCCATGTGACATCAGTGCTTCAACCGCAGTTTTACAAAGCTACGAGAATACTTTTTGTGTGCAAAAAAACAACAACGTTTTCTACGTTTTCTATTATCGCGTTTTCTACGTTGTTTACATGAGGTACTCTCGATAATGGCGGAAGACAATTTGGAGGAGAAGAATTGTTGAATAAAGTCGTTATTTTTGTTTTCTTTGCGCACAAAAAGTATTCTCATAGCTTCGTAAAATAGCGGTTGAACCACTGATGTCACATGGACTGTTTTGCCGATGTCCTTACTACTTTTCTGGGTCCAGGAACATTTCAGTTGCATTGCTCTATATGGAGGGTCAGAGAGCTTTCGGATTTTATCAAAAATATCTTAATTTGTGTTCCGAAGATGAACAAAGGTCTTACGGGTTTGGAACAACATGAGGGTGAGTAATTAATCAAATAATTTTCATTTTTGGGTGAACTATCCCTTTAAGGTGTGCTTGTTACAGTACTGAGTATTAATTAACTACATGTACTTACTATATGGTTAGGGTTTGGCTTAGGGTTACTTGCATGTAATTATGCATAATTTATTGTTATTATAATAGTAAGTTACATTTAACATTTACTTGTAATACTTAAGTGAATTAATATTTGTCATTTAATATTTAAATAAACAATAGTTTCACAAAAAGTATAATCGTTAAGTAACTATGAAATAATTAGAATTATTTGGGCTATCATATGAGAGTAATTACATTTTTATATACTGCTAATACTTTCATATTTTCTTTCTTTAAAATAATGAGAATGAGATTTATTTTAAGTGAATGTTACAAAAAAAACATGTTCAGCTCACATTTCACTGCAAAATAAAATAGAATATTTATTTCGCACTAAGAAAATATTTTTCACACTACTAAAATGTGTTCTTTTGATTTTTTTGTAGTAATTCTCATTTTGTTTTTTATATTTATTGCTATATATTATATTATTATTTGACCTTATTGTTAAACAATGTGACGTTATTCATTCATGTGTGTTCAGATGAGTCAAGATGAGCAGGACCTGCGAGAGGAGCAGAGGAAGAAGAAGGAGGGTTTGTTTCAGTGCACGGGCCGATTCAGACGCAGCACCTCTCCACCCAGCCGCACACTGTCACTCTCCCTGTCCCACAACCGCCATCAGGACTCCAGCCTGCCCCGCATGGACCCGTCTCCTTCCGTTACCCTCCTCTCTTTGTCCTACCTCTCTGACTGCAACTCCACCAAGTCCCTGTTGCCCTCTGATCCTGATGACTTTGCCCCGAACCCTAGTAGTGCTCACCCGGTGGTCTCTCCCGCGGTGTCATTAAACCCTCTGCTGGACCTGAGGGCGGAGAGCTTCAAACGAGAGCCCAATCAGTCCCTCACACCCACCCATGTCTCTGCAGCTATGGCATTAAACCGCGGGCACCGCCGCACACCCTCTGATGGGGCCATCCGTCCTCGAGCGCAGACGGTCATTGGGCATCGGCGCACCCCCTCTGATGGGAGTATGCCCTTCCCACCCGCACAAGCCCCAACCATTACACCATATACAGGTACAACATTTGACTTGAAATGCTATTTGGTATTGGGTGAATCTCTGTCGAAACATTTACATTCATATCTTATCATAATCTTATATTTAATCGTAACTTGCATGATTCCATATTTAACTGTCATTTTTCCATGATACTTCCATGATGTGTAAGTTTAATCTTAATAGTGTTTCTCACGAAGATCAATAAGATTATTATTATTATTATTATTTATAATATGTTGCTTAAAATATAATATATATATATATATTATATAACATAACAAGTAATATTTGTCCTAACTTTTTGTATGCTCAGTAGTGATTGCCATTAATGTAATATTTTCACATTAAGGTAAAGAAATTTTAAATATATATTTTTTAAATGTGCTTTATGAAAATCACAGTCACAGTGAGTGCAAAAAATCTTAATGGTATTAAATGTAAGCCTCAGTAAGAAAATACAATCTTTCATATGTCTTGATTTTTGGATAAAATATGATATAATCATATGGGCTAATATCTTGTTTGTGAATTCTAATTTGACTTGAAGAGTCCTTCATGTCGTTCATATGTTCTCCTCCAGGTTCTCATGAAACTCTTGACATTCCACGCCTGCCTGACCCATCCATGGTCTATCCCTCAGCCAATCGGCGCAAACCTCCTCCTCCCATCCCCATCCCCGTGCCAGAGCCAGACAGCCAAACAGGCACACTTGAGCGTCCCAAAACCCTTGAGTTCGCGCCTCGCCCCCGACCCACCCCAGCTCGGGCACGTCCGGACCCCTGGAAACTATCATCTCTGTCCCAGACGCTCAGTTCGTCTCCAGGTAGCAGCTGCGACAGTCCACTGGGCTCAAGTGACAGCGGAGTGAGCGCTGGAGCGGGTGTTGTCCATAAAAACCTTCTCGACATGGACATGGAAGGCCAGAGCCAGGACAACACCGTCCCCCTGTGCGGACAACACCAAAAGGCCACTCTATGCGGACAACATTTCTCATAGAAAGACTTCTGTCCCCCACCGTCCGGGCTGATGCACACTGAACCAGCACTCTGTGGCCGTCATAAGAGGTTTCCCCACAGTTTGCCCCGTGATCCCATCAGACCATGCTCTCTGGCAGCTCTAATGGAAAAGCTGCCCTCTGCAGTAGCTAGACAGCCGCCTTCTGGACAGGTTAAGAGATAAATGACCTTGATTTGTTTATCTCAGCCTGTCCTCAATGACTCATTCTCTGCGTGTTTAATGGGCCTCATAATGGCTGCGATCGGTTGGTTAAACAGTGGCCTGTAGTGAGCAGGAGAGGGCAGTCTAACTACTGTAGGTCTGTGACCTTCCTTGTTTGTCCATATCTCTGTTATCATAGGGCCAGTCTCTCTCGCCTCTTCTTCTTCATCATGGTCTCCATGGGTACAACCTGTTTTTTGGCCTGGAAAAAAAACGCCATTTTTTCCCCCTCCAGTGTGTACATTATAAAGTTCAGCGATGCTTTCTGTGTTTACATTCAGGAGAATTGTGTATGCAGTTAATTGCAATGACACAGGGAGCTCTTTTGCGAGTTGCATTCATTGTAATATATTGATACAATATAAAAATAGGTGTACCACAAGAATTTTATATTTTTCTTTTTTTGAAAATAACAAACAAAAAAAACAGACTACATCTCAAACTACTCTCTGCATGACCTAATCAGAATGTGAGAGCAGTCCAAACGTGAAAAGAAACATGAGCAGATGCTTTCTCTCCATGTGTGGAAGTACTTGGCACTTTCCAAGGATAGGGTACACTTTTTTTTTAAAGCATTAGAGGCATAAATCTCATGTTTTTGGTCACGAAAAGCAGCTAATTAAAAAAAAAAAGAAAACTTCAGATGTTTGTATTCCACTTAAAATGGGAATTTTGGCCCTTCCCACCTCAGAAGCCTCGAACTTTTGGATGTATCCAACAAATATAATGCTAAATTATACATATACACATTATATATATATATATCCTATATATGTATATTCTATTTATCTGTCTCACATTTTGTGTACAACCCTGCATGATGTAATACACATTTCACAAGCCAAAAATTTAATTGCATGTTCTCAAATTAAATTTGACCAGCTCAACTTTCAACTGTTACCTTTGGTATTAAAGAAAAAATAATATTTGTCTTTAATTTATGGGAGATAAGTGCATGGGAAGTAACTACAACTCACCGTATCTGCCCCTATTGATAGCCCCATTAGCAACACTTTTTTCTTCTTTTTTATTTTTTTATATATTTTGTCTAGTTATTTAGCTGTTTATTGCAAGGAAAAATAACAAAATTAAATGAACCAGGTAAACTCTATATAAACCCTATTTAGTGATTCTAAATCAATTCTACACTAATGTTAAAAATTTGGGGTTTGGAAAGATTTTTTATGTTCTTGAATGAAGTGTCTTATGTTCACCAAGGCTGCATTTATTTGATAAAATAGAGTATAAACAGTAATATTGTGAAATAATATATTACAAATTAAAAATAATAGTTTTTATATACATTTGTTTTAAAATGTAATTTATTCATGTGAGGCAAAGCTGAATTTTGAGCAGTCGTTACTCCAGTCTTCAGTGTCACATGATCCTTCAGAAATCATTCTAAAATGCTGATTCCGAAACATTAATGTTAGAAACAGTTGTGTTGCTTAATATTTCAAAAGAACTTTTTTAACAATGTAAAAGTATTTACTGTCCCTTTTGATCAACTTAATGCATCCTTGCTGAATTAAAGTATAAATTTCTTTAATTAATTAAAAAAAAAAAAAAAAAAGTACTGGCCCAAACTTTTGCGCAGGAGTGTGTATGTCCCAAATTTTGGTAGCATAGTTGCAGATCTTACAGGAAATGAATAAAACACTTAATGTAATAATTAGTTTGTCCCCCTGTGGTCAACATTTTTTGAAGGTTAAGCTTTTGTACCCTATTCGTGGAAAGTGCTTGTTACTGTGCATGTCCATCTGACTAAAACTGGATGAGTAAGTCCCTATTCCACTCATTCTGTTCAAGAGTGTTTCAAGTGAAAACCATTTACTTCCCCCTTTCGTCATAAACTCATCTGAAAAGCCTCTGTTCTCCTCAAAACAATGTCAGCTCCTGTAAGGAGCATCTTGAGAAGAGAAGGACAAAAATTGGAAAATTAGGGTTTTTGTAACAATTGGCAATAAAAAGCAAACATGTACTACCTGTTTTTTTAATGTACCAGACAAGACACTTCCTTACCTCCTTAAAGTGACATTCTTCCTCCACCTACTGAACAATTCAACTGAAGAGAAAGAAACAGTATGTATACACCAGATCTGACCATGCGTCACCACAGAGAGCATTGTGAAGGACACGGTCATGTCAGGGCACATGGAAAGAGACGTGTGATGAGATCCTTAATGACGTTACACTTGTGCAAGAAATACAGGATGTTCTTTTGGCGGACTGAATGGTGCTGAGACACGCACACTGGAGGGTTTTAAATTAGTTGTGCTGAAATGTTAAACCTGGTAGTAGGCAGTATTTTTTTGACTGTCCACCAGTGAGTATGGCTGTTATGTGAGTGTGTGAGCGGACGGGTGTGTGTGCATGTAGTTTGTGTTCTTATTGTTATCATTTGTTTGGGGTAACTCTCTGTGCAGGGGTTGAACAAACCCACCCCCTTATTTCCTGTGTGAGGAACACTGAGTATTAAAATAATTGTTACAAGCAGTGATGTGTTGGTTTTGATACTAATTACTGTCTTGTGTTTTCATAATTACACAATGTCCTGTTAAAAGATGAGATTATTATTAGTAGTAGTATATCATTTTAAATCATTTGCTAAGTATTTATTTATTTAGCAACCTAAACTATTGCATTTATGCATAAGCTTTTAATTCAAATGTTTTTTAAGATAAAAACAAATCAGTCCACGGTTAATTTGTACTTTTACTGGTAGCAGCACAAGTATTAGGCCTATTGCAGATCTGTTGTGGTGAGGATTTGTTTCTTTCCAAAAAAACTTGAAAGCATCTAAACCCAATCCATCGTTTTATTCCCATAAACAATAAACCAAGACCGATATTTAAAAAAAAAAAAAAAAAAAAAAAAGGACACTAGATGTCGACAAAGTCCCGCAGTGCAGGTTGAACAATTATTACGCAATTAATTCCTAGAGAGAATGTTGTTTTGTGCTTTTATGTTCAGGTAGGCACAAAAATAACAGCTTTATTATCACTTCCGCTTGCTTATTGTATAAAATAAAAATAATGTCGTAAACTCTCAAAGCAAAACCAAAGAAACATTTTATAATTCAACTTTAAGAACATAGCTGTGGACAATCGCATGACACAAGATAAGCATAGCAGCATCTCTGGCTCAATCTTGCACGTGACACTGGTCTGTTTACATCAGCGATTGTTCTCTGAGGACAATGGGAAGATATCATACTAACTTACACTGAGGTATTCAACTCCACAGAGAGAATTAAGTATATGGAAACAAAAAATGTGAAAAAATAATTTAATAAACTAGAAATATTTTATTATAATCCATTCCTTCAAACTGCTCGATAAAGACATGACTGTAAACGCTAAAACTGGGCCCGACTACCTCCAGTGCAGTGCCTATAAAAAGCTGACCAAAGCTAGTTTCATACAATAAAGCGTAACAGCCTCAGACTCGTCACCGTTCACTACACATGTAGCTACACACACTCAAACACGGACATAGCTTTGCTCTCGTTCTTTTGCTCGTCTGTGAAAGCAGCAGTAGTATGAAGGTAAAATGACGTCAAAAAGATTTGCATACGCAGGG